AAATATATAATACAAATGCGTTAATCGTAATAAAGAGATTAAATTAATATCAATAACTGGTAAACAGGTAGTAATTGGTAGTAACTGAAAATAACAGGTAGTAAAAGTAAATGAAAGTATCAAACCTAAATATATATGCCACCGATACGAACTTTTGTGTTGAATCAGGAAGTATTAGGACGCCAAGCGTTTGAAGCGAGACTTCTCTTTCAAAACTGTGATATATATCCGAGACTATCTATATGAAGACATTAATAATAATTGCTAGTGCCACAGAGATTGACATGACATTCTTCCAAATGGCAGTTTAACACTTGGAGTTATTGAGCAATAATGTTCTATTTGGTTGTGCAATCAAGGAAGGCCTTTATTGTTTGGAGGAAATAATATAGACAAGCATATTAAATGAAAAATATTCAATATTATGCATGCGAGTGCAATATGTTTTAAAAGCTGGTAATAATCCAAGTATGACTATTTATAGTTTCTCAATAATATACTGATTACATCAAAATAATTAGATAAATTATATAATATTCATTTAGAAAAGTTGAATAATATTTTATATAAAATTAATGAAAGCTTTCTTCGCCCATCAAAATAACGCGCATAAAAAGGTTTCTTCCATCGCAAAATGCAACTTTATTAGCATTTTATATATATACAAAAAAGCGAATTTATTAAGAGTAAAAAAATATAACAAGTTCATGCAGACGATTTAACTGTAATTTATTACAAATCAAAATGTATTGAATAATCTCACACTTTTATTCAAAATTATAGTCACAACTCTATACGGGATTTGCCAATTGTAAAATTATTCTTTAATTGTTTAATCAGCCTATTTTCATTTATTATTAGTACAATAATATATTATGATTATTAAATTAAATTATTAAAATGATACAAATTACACCTATATCAAATTTGAAGTGTAGTAGTGCAATGAAAAAATTACACTTTGAAGTGTAAAAATATACTAGTAAAAATCATGTAATTTTTAGGTTTTTATTTTTTTCTCGAAAATTTTCAAGTATTTTAAAGTTATACAATCCTGATTAAATGCGCCAACTTTTGATGTAACTTGCCAACACACTTTAGTACATATTTTTCAAAGATTCATTGTTCAACAAAAAGTCTGTATTATTAAAATCTTTGGGCAATTGTGGTATTTTTTTACAGTGGTACTTGAAATGTATTTACATACTTGAAATGTATTCACATATTCACATTCATTAAAGTTTTAATGTACAAATTTAATAAAAAAAAGTTAACCACAATAACCAAAAAATGAACATAATACCATCAAAGCTCATGGTTGCACTTATAGAAGTTCATAATTTCCTTACAACGCGAGATTTTTTTCAGGACAATTAAGCTCCGTTTCGGCTTGACGTCAAGATCTGGGACACCCTATATAAATATATATGTATATATATATATATATATATATATATATGTGGGTGCATTTCTCCACCATCGCAAAGACTTATCGCGAAGTCGATGAGAAAATTTATTCACATTGTCTCGCGCGCTAAATCAATGATCCGGTGCACAAGAAAAGATGTCGCAATAACGAGCAAAAGGAAAAAATGTAATAAGACGATGAGTTGGAAAAAACAGAACGAGGAAATGATTTCCGGGCGTAATTATCTATTTTTCTTTTGAATATAAAAAACTTAGCTTCGAACTTAAGAGGATTGCGAAAAAGTTGGTTTCTATAAAAGAATATCATTCCGTCAAACGGAAATAACTCTTGGAGGCTTTTTAATAACTCTTGGAGGCTTTTTAAAATCTCTTCGAATTTAAAGATTAATTTTGGGGTTGGTCTATAAGAATTTCTAATTATTATCTCAGTGAAGCATTGAGGAAGTCAAAACACCCAAAGAGGAAGTCAAAACAAACAATAAGTCAAAAAAGAATTAGGTAATACTACCTACTAAAAAACTAGTAGTGCATTAAGCTAAATTGCGGATTTTTTTTATAGATAAATATAAATTTAATTATTGATTTTTCATAAAATTTAAAATTTATGATTTTTCTTATAGATTTTTTTGTCTCTCATTTGTAGAAAATACATTGTTCTTACATCAATAATTTTGCTAAAGTCAAATATGCATTTATGGAAAGTTTCTGCCATAAAATATAGCAGGCTATGTTACGACCAGGCCATGTTACGTAACATTTTTCATATAAAGTGATACTAAAAACTGTCAAAATGCTATGTGGTTCATGCAGTCACGCCTTTTAGATAGAAAATCTAACTTTGAAAACGCAAAAATGTCAAAAAAAAACAATATAATCATAACTGCATCTTTGTGATGTGGCGTAATAACATATGAGTGAAGTTGCATATTATGCATGGCATTTTGACAGTATTTAGTACCATTTTGTATGAGAGCGCTACGTAACATAGCCTTGCCATAACATTATATTGTTTTCCGCCAGAAACATCCTCTTAATGTAGAAAACCCAAAAAAAATCTAACTTTTGGTTTTTATTTTATTGCGCCAAATTGTCATTCATTCATTCAATCATTTATATTTTGCGTTGGGTTATATATAGCATTATTATTTTTTTTTTATTCGGGTAAATGCACAATTAGCTTGGAGGGAATCACAAAAATACACTTGTCTGTTTGAAATATGGCAGAACTTTTATTTAATTTATTTTGTGCATAAAACTAAAATAAAAATAAATGAGAGTACAATGGATCAAGGTATTATCAACTAACATCCCTATTCACATATTGCAAAAACTGATACTCATAAATAAAAACCATAATAGCACCAGCAGAGTGTGTTTCTTCGGAAGTTTCACATCATAAATAATTAGTACACATATCATATAATACGAACGATCTTCATTCAACACGTGCCACATATACTGAGATAAAACAAAACATAAAAGCGACTCATATACATTAGCCAGCTCCATAATTTGAACTCGGATTGCTAACGGGTGCTCCTTCTCAAAGAGGAATTGTTCAGAGTAAGTACAAAGTTATTTATTGTTATTGAAGACGTACTAAAACTTGTGCAGTAAATCACAAAGTCAGTCAGTGAACTCAGAAACTAAAATCCTCCCAAAGGGCGTAAACCAACGGTGACATGTGTTTTCTATATAATTAATTGAGAAAATATGAATTTCCTAACAGGAAATTTAAACCATTTCCTAGACCATTTCCCTTCCATAATAAAGCGCAGTAGTTATTTACGAACTTTCGTATATACTAAAGTGATGAAATAATGCTGGACGAAAATATTAATTGAATAGAGTGAAAAGTTAAATTACGTCATTGAATTGTGAACATTCGCTTCATTCATAAAGTAATTGCAACATTAATTTATATAAAATATTTTCTCAAACATGTTAACTATTGTATTGAATTTTATTATAAAAACTCAAGCACATATTGTTGAAAACATTATTAAATTCCTATTGTACTAATCGGCATGTAATTTAGTTCACTCTGATTTTCTCTTAACATTTAATATAAATGAATATCTTAGAGTATTGAAATGAATACTCTCCCTTAAATATTTTTAAAAAATATTTAATTAGATAATCTACTGCTAACAGTTCCTGAAAAATCGACTAAAGACGCAAAGCTCTTAATTATATTATTGATTAAGAATTTATTAATAACGAATAGGTTAAATCATTTATGATAAAATTTTCCAGAGCGTATCAAAGCGTCAATGAAAATCTAATGATATTTATTGATGCATATCATAGATTTATGATAAGCATAATCAAACAATAAGCTGTAGATAAAATTCTTCATCGGAATTCTTCATATGCAATATATTAAGCACAATAAACGCGATATCGGTGCGTAACGACTAGTGATGGGCGTTGAATCAACGAACGGTTATTTTCAACCGTTTCTTCTTCGTTAACTAACTAACCGTTTCGTCGCAACGAAATAACTAGTTGAAAATCAACTGGTTTCGAAGCAGTTGAAAACATGGCGGCCAGTTAGTTTTTTCAACGATATAGGAATTCGTTCGTTGTCGAAAACGAACGTAGGCAGGTACCTGCGTCGGAAAGGATCAACCAATACTATGAAAATCGCTTATTGTTAGGCTACTGCTTGCAAATGTACATGTACATCTTAAAAGAAACTTGCAACACGCGCCAAATCGTTTAATTTTAGAAAATCAGTTACATTTATTATAGTTTTCAATGGTTAATATTTTTCATGAAAATCTCATAGCATTTGTCTTGTAATAATTTTTTTAAACTAAACCTGAAAATTGATTTTTATTTTTCATAACATTTTATATAACCATACATTTTTATATTGCTATTTTTATATAATATGTAAATTCGATGTTTTAGTATATGGCTTTGCTGTAATGAAAATATTTAAGTTTTTTAAATTAAACCTTTATTTATTATATATATATATATATATATATATATATATATATATATTGTATGATTCTGAATTTGATGTTGACATATGTATTAACAAAGTCTAATAATCGGGCATAACATCAATAAAAACTTAAATAAATAATAATAGTTTTTTATTGATGTTATGCCCGATTATTAGACTTTGTTAATATATATATATATATATATATATATATATATGTATGTGTGTGTGTAATAAATGTGACAATTCACATTTATTTATTTTTATTCATCAAATCCAACGTCAACTTGACTTTTATAAGAACAAAGTTCATATTACCAACTTTCAATGAAACAGTTATTTCAACTATCAGTTTCTTAACGTTGCCAGCGTTGAATCGTTAAAAATAACTATAGTTGAAAAATAACTAGTTATTTAACTAGTTGACGAAACCCCGATAACCGTTTCGTTTCGTTGACGGCAAAACCGTCAACGACCCACCTCTCGTTACTAACGACTATCAAAATTTTCCAGATATTTAAATAATATTACTAATTCAGTAATATCAGAATTATTATTAAAAACGAGCAAAACACATTCAATATAACAAATAGTTTAAAATAACATAATTACTTTATTATTCAAACAATCCATCTGTTTCTTCGGCAGTAACGTATTTATCTAAGCATCCCTTCGCAAAATTCAATTTTTCATCGATGTCGTCTCCGGGACAATAATCCGTGAAGAACGTTAGCATCGTTTTCTCATCCTAAAGGTTTTTTTTAAATATAAGTATTTAATTACTCATATTTAATTTTTCTACTAGTGTGATTTTAAAATTGTGCCAATGTGTGCAGCTAAATATGTAAGTTATATACACAAATAATCGTGTTTTAAATAAATAATTTGTGTCGGTGTCGTTAAAAATTAATAGAAAGGAAGCGGTGCAAGTTCTGCGTAAAACAGAGAAAATCTGTGCAATACGGAACCTATTTTTTTAAATTGTTTTAGAACATTTATAAAGGTTATTTAACAATTAGTGCATGATGTACCGTACATTTATAGGTCTAAACTTGATGAAAGATTATCCCAATTAATATTATTAATAAGAATATATTCCACCATATTATTCAGCAGTGATTTTTTTTTTTGAAAATTTTGAAACAAGCTCACTCATACTTGGTGTATTCAGAAATAATGTTAACTATAACCTTTTAAACCCCTGAAAATTGTTTCTTGCTTAAAGGTTTGCAGAATCAACAATATAATATATTTCGATGTAAGTAATAACAACTGAGAAACATATTTTATAACACCTAAATTCGGAATATGTTATTTAATTTGCGGTTGGTGAATTCTAATGCTGCATATATCGTTTAAATAAGTTTTTAACACATTTTATCCTGATCATGCAGGGTTTTTTTTAAATAGGATGATAGTATATTATAACTAGCTTTGTTAAAATCTGGTATACAGGCAAATAAATATTTGATATCCTATAAGCGAATAAACAAGTTGGTATAATTAATCAAGCACAGTAGAACGTCGTTTAAAATATTAAATTTTCAGATACGTATTTCACACTGTACTGGTACTTCGATAGTACCACACTGAATTTCAGCAACGGACATGAAGACGAAATAATATATTATTACCTTCACCTGGCAAAGTACAATGTTTCTTTTATAAATAATTAAGTTCGTGTGAAGATAAACTTGTATGCCAATATGACGTCAAAATAAAATAATTTCCATGCAAATCTAGAACGCATGCAAATAAATAAATAATAAATTAAAAAACTGGCCTGCGTGAGTTCCCTCGGGGGCGGCGGTGGCGTCTTTGCCGGCGCGGGCGGCACAGTTCTCGGCTTGAGTCGGCGCCTGCCGTACGGTTTCACCGGTTCCAGGCCGCGCTCGATTGACTTCAGCAGACAGTCGATCACTTTCACTTTGGAGGACGCCTCCTTCGCTTGCTTCATCATTTTGTCTTGCTCTCCGCGCACCTTAATGTAAAATTAACGAAGTTTTAAGTAAAAAGTTGGTAGGATGTAAGTAGAATCAGTATTAATATAAAAGTTTTAAGAGGATCTAAAGTTCTTGTAAATTAATTGAATAAGATATATTATATTAAGATTATTATAATAGTTAATATTGTATGTAGGGTAGGAGGGTAGAAAGGTCCAATTTGACTTTAAGAAATTATGCTAAAATCTATATCAAATTAACTACATCTCAACACATCACACGTATGAAAAAAACAATTGTCTAACTATGCTAAGTAAAATTTCCAGTTCTTTTTTATTATAAAAATGTTTTTTACTATTTATCTAAAATTTATCTATTTATCTATTTTAAAGGGATATTACAAAATAAAAGCAACACTTGCAAACCCATGCAGAATATGAATTCCATGTATCAAAGTATCAATGTACAGAGTTTTGTACAGAGATAATACTGTACATAACCTTGATCTGGTATTTGGTCAGAAATATTCATCAGTAAAGTTGGAATAACTATTTATTCAATTTATTTCTCGTCCAATTGCTATTTTAACTTTACTAGTTTTTATTATTTATCAATAATTATTTAATAATTAATTAATTAAATAATTACTCTTTACACATTTGCCACAGCAAAGGTTCAGTTGGTTCTTTAAACCCCACCCAGATGTAAGCTTTTAAAAAGGTTAGATAAAAAAATGTTGAATCTAACTTAAAAATAATAATGCATATTATAAAACAATGAAAAGCGTAGAATTAAAAATTATATTGAGGCCAAGTAAACTAAACAACTGGTACTTTACTTTTGCCCTCTACTTTCAAATACTTCTGATAGAAAATTCTTAACTTGATTTTGACATAAGGGTGGTGGACCTTTTAAGTCGCATCCCTTAAATGGTACGCGACTCTACCCAATGTAACTATATGAATTTATTGCTCTTCCCTAATGAGTTCCAGTACCTATATGCACCCTTTGATTTTTCTTACCCTGTCCAAAGTTCACATTTCTTCAGTCTATTTTATTGGTATAAATATTCAATATATGTTCTAATTAATTCAATAACTAGTTTGTTATTGAAAAAATACTAAACACTAAAAAGTTCTATTCGTCTCAACTTTTGAATCTGTCTATCGTTTAGTAAAAAAATTCTAACTTGATTCTTCAACGGACTTTATAATTTATAATATATTATTAATTTGTTTATGACATACTTAGTAATGGTTATAATATAAGACTATTTATATATTTGTTTATATTAATTACCTATATAGAGTAAAAAATTCCTCTAAACGACATCAGGCGAGAATAATTAATTCAAAATTGCGCATATCAATAAAAAATTGAGAAAAACACATAAAAAATGTTCTAACCCTATAGAAGCAGTCTCAATCAAAGCACAAAATAAAAAAAGATCACAATTGTCACTTGACAAATATCCCTAGAAACGTTTGCTATAATTTCGTAAAAAGCCATTTTTATCAATATTACGTATTTGTGGTGGACAATATACAAATTCATTTATTCCAAATATTTTATCTTACAATATAAATTATTATTTAACAACTTCACGTTGCTACTCAAAGTAAATTTAGTAACTGTTTATTACTACTAACGGGTATATACATATCAATATTTGTGTCAGCATATTAATATATGAATGCAGAAACCTATGAAGTCATAACTAGGGCATATAAATGTCGCATGCGGTTAGTTAATTTATGCGTCATGGCTTTTGACCCTCAATTATTAGGCGAACCTATTCAACTTTAGCTAAAAACTTGAATTGAAATAGTAAAATAATAAAAATTTGATAATATAAATAAGCAGAGGTTACAAACTAGCACAACTAAGAAGTACACGTAAACAACACTATAATTAGTACTAATTATAATGAGTAATTATAAAACTCAAGTTTCTTGTAAGGGGCCGTTCAAGTATTATGTAAGCACTATAGGGGGGCGGGGGGGTTTTTGATTTGCTTATTTTGGGTTGATATGGGGGTCAGGGGAGTCTGGATGATGATTACGTCATAGGTAGTATTTTTATTTTTTTTAAATTAATTGCAAAATGTTTACGTAAGCATGGGGGTAAGGGGTAAAAGCTTTGCTGACAAGGGGGTTGGGGGAGTAAATAATTGTAATAAATCTGCTTACGTAATACTTGAACGATCCCTAAAGAAACATAATAAACGTTTTTACTAATTTTGTCATATATTTTCAAATTAAAAATTATTATTATTATTAAATACAAAATTACCCTTGCACTAGCATTGACTACACATCTAAGTGGCATCCCATCTAGTACCAGACATAAGGCATGCATTTCGGCTTCTATTCCACGTGCCATGGCGATCGTGCTCAGATTGGAATCATTAGGAGCAACGCAACCCTCGTAGCAATCCTCGACCCATACGTGAGTGGCTAATGCTGGACCTATCTGTAAAAATCAATTAATCTTAATCTGTATGTGATATTCAATTGGGTAATGAACCATTAGAATTTTTTTAGCTAAGAAGACCAAGTTTGATTGAATAATTAATTCATTACATCCATGAGTCCTATCATTCTGGTAACATAGTTTAGAGATCCATTATAGATCAGTTTTAATATCTAATAAATTTATTATAATTTGTATTTGATCTGCAGAAGGAAATGTTAGAAAAATTATAAAATTATGTAATTTACCAATCGCTTCAAGTGCGTTTTGTATTATCTATCTATGCGAGAATCCGTCAAATTGACTCAATAATAAAAATAACCATTATTTTCATGCATATTTTTTCACATATCATTTGGATGTCTTTTATGCGTTTTCGGCAAGCAATATTAATACAATGCATGTAAAAACTACAGCTTCTAATATAATTGCACGTTTTTGCATCTTTTTCGAAATGCTGATGTCAACGATTACTGTTCGAAAGTATTTTCGTTTTATTATATTGGCCATGAAAGTGGCAACCTTCAGGGCAATAAGCTTGGCACGGAATGGTTGCTACCCCTGGTAGAGAGGCAGCGGAGTGTTTTAATAGAACTAGTTGTTCACTTCAAAAAGTAAAGTCCGCGAATCAACATGTATAATGAATAACCAATAAATATATCTTCTTTCATTATAACTTAGTAGCAAATTAGTGATTGTAATTAGAACTGCAACAAATACATAATATACAAACAAATCAAGGTTTTATACAGTCCACAGCTACAAGGGTTAAATTATAACCCAACAACCTGAATTATCTTTTTTTTTATTGTTTCCACAGCAATCAGAACTCTTTATTATTGTTCTATAAGCTGTTTTTGTGTATGACTTATGACCTAAGGTATTGATATGAGAAGGGTTTATTTATTAGCTCTTATGTCTAATAGTGCGCATATGATTGTATGATGCAACTATGTCCACGAAGGACGATTTCCACTTGGAATTATATTGTGATCTATAACCCCAAGTGGAAATTTGACATCAAAGTTGCCTGATGTCAGGCTTGGCGGTAGCGGGAATCGAAACAGCGAACCTGGGTCTAGTTGGTGCTAGCCCACGCTCTAACCTATTTTGCCACCGCCGGCCCCTGAATTATCGAAGGAGAGTTTTAATACAATTACTGATCTGAAACATCATATATATTTCATAGATTTGTTAATTATAATTAATATAATTATAGTAAAATATAAATTTTAAACGATACTTAAAACCAGTATCAAGTAATGCAATTCACTTTCACAAATTCACACATTTTGAAAAAAAATTCTTATGATAATGCGACAACGTCTAAGGCTTGATACTATGACGTTCAGTATTATGAATAAGTAGATATCTTGAGATTTTTCTGACGTTAAAAAAGTCCTTAAAATGCGCGTTCAGAGTAATGAGATGATCTTTTTTTAGCAACTTAATGATATAACCAAGTTTATTGCATCTCACCCTTCTCATTACTTTTATATTTACTTTTTGAAGGCATAATTTTAAAAATAAAGTAAATTGGTATATAATATTTGTTAGCCAAATAAAGGACACTGTCAACTTGTTGGGTTTCCGTACAGAGAGGTATACCACATCAGAATTTTCAAAAGTTTAAAAAGTTTATCAAAATTATAATTGTATATATAGCATATATTACTAAAGTCATGAATTTACGGCACAAATTAGTTAAGAATAATGATTTTTAAGCATATCATTTCAAAGATTGAATTCTGCCATATTGACGGGCTCCGTAAACCTGGTGTTAATATGATCTAAAATACCATTTTGCCTGATCAGTTTTGTGTGCATAGCGGTCTATTTTAGCTTTATTAAACAAGCCTTTATTAAACAAACCTTTTATAAGGAAACTAGCTGTACCCGATCTCGATTTGCCGTGATTTAGTTTAAATTAAAAAGTTTAACAAAGATGTGTATTTGTTACATTTAGTTTAACGTTACTACTATCTGTTCAACAATTTACAGATTCAACAATTTGTCTACGAATTTACCTATAAACTTGTTAATCAATCTACCATTTTATCGACTTACCAATTTACCTGTCAACCTATTTATCTATCAACCCATTTTACTTGTCTACCAATTTACCTGTCAACCTATTTATCCGTCTTGTTATTTGTCTATCTACCAGTTATCTTGTCTACTATTTTACATATCCTCCTATTTACCTGACCACCAGCTATATAACTAATTACTTTTTTACCAATTTACTTATCTACCAATTCATCGGTCTATCAATTTACCTGTCTACCAATTTACCTATCGACCTGTTTATCAATACACCATTTTACCTGTCAACCAATTTACCTGTCATCCCGTTGTAAATGTCTACCAATTAACCGGTAGATTAATTGAATTTAAAATTTAATAATTTACCTGTTGAACAATTTACCTGTTTATTTGACAACTAATTTACCTATCAACTTGTTTATCAACCTACCAATTTACCGGCCTACAAATTTACCTGTCATCCCGTTCTGCATGCCCACCAATTAACCTGTCAACCTGTTTATTTGTCTACATATTCGTCTATCTACCAGTTCTTCTTTCTGCCACTTTACATATCCTCCAATTTACCTGTCGACCAGTTTACCTTTATAAATTCTCTAATTCACCATATTTATTTACGCATTAAAAAGAAATTAAAGCTCAAATTGATTCTACGTTTTAGTTAGAAAACATTTGTATGTGAAAAAGAAAGGGCTGTTTTTAGGGTTTTAACGGCAGTTATTCGATTTTTTCTCGCCGTAAGAACCATCCTTGGACTTCAACAAACATTTTAAAAAAAGAATTGGCCAAATTGGTCCAGGCGTTGTTGAGTTATGCGCTAACCAATACATTTTGCGATTTATTTTTATATATAAGATAAATAAAAGTTATCGAGTTTGTACTGATATACGGCAGACCAATAATATTAATATCGCGGACCTAGCAATGTATTTTGTTGACTATATTAGTTAAATATATTCAACAATGTAGTTGAACATATAGCCTATAGCTAAACCATTTATAATGAAGTATCTACCTTTCATTCTTATTCAAATGGTGAACTTAATTAAAAGTATCATCAACCGTGATCGTTTTAACTGTATAATTTTCCGCTTGACAAATGGTAATGCGAATGAAATGAATATCCGATTTGGAATTTCACCTACCGCTACGCATTTTCTCAGGGCGCCCTCGAGTAAACTTTCGCCGCGCGCTTTGAGCGATCTGCCACGTCTCTCTTCCCAATCAATGTGTCGGCTCAGCGAATCTATATTGCGCCGCATAGCAGTCAATTCGGCTTCGACCTGTCGAATTTAAACAAAATTTGATTATTACATATTTATATTTGAAATATAACAAGAACTTGTATTTATTGATTTGTGCTAGAATTATTAAATGTGCCAATTCATTCAAATAAAATCAGTTTTAGATAGGGTTGGCTCTTGCAAAGACTATTAAGGGGCTTTTATACGTGGCGAGCTTTGCAGTGGGTAAACTTTTCATATATTTTTTGTTAGCTGCTCCTTTCACTCATGCTCCACTTTTTCAATCAGTTAGTAATTTTTATACTAAACATTTTATACTAGAAATATTTTTATGGCGAAACAGCTAGTACATATATATTTAGGGTGGTCCTTAATATGGACATTTTCGAATTTCTTTGCTCTCAAGGGCTCAAATGCTTCCAAATTAATAAAAAAATAATCTCTACAAGTTTTATCTCTTAATATTAACATTTAGATAGTCTGCAATTCAATTAAAAGTTTATTTATTTATTAACATACATCATTAAGTGAATTCTTGCGCCATCTGTGACAGCAACCTTGTAACTTTGATGGAAATTTATTACTGATAATTTGAGTATCAACATCAGCAATTAAAATGCCAATTTAAATTTTCTACAAATTACATAAATATACCTCTGCAAACACAATTTGCTATTTTTGCCAAATCTCATAGTTATCTTTAAGCAATTAATGCATTGTCAAAAGCATTCCATGGTTTTAATTAATATTTAACGCATTAGATTTATATTTCTCGACATTCAATTAAAGTAATTTACCTGAAATACATCATTCAAATCGCTTGAATAAATACATCTCAGCTAATGTAATAATAAAGGTTGGTGAAATAATATGGTTTCCTATTGGACTTTATTATAAATGAATCCTAACATTATAGAGTATGTATATCTATAATACTATATACACTATATATTATACAGTGAATGTTTAAGGTGTGCTATTATTATCTAAACAGTTTGCAATAACATTCAAGCTCATTATTCATGTATTTAATCAAATAGTCATTAGCCAAATGTTTTGGTTATTGAACATCTATTTTTATCGCAGCACAATGAAAACTTAAATTTATATAACTAATAATAGTTATAAGCAAAACATTGTTATTGTTTACAAAACATAATATGCCAAACGCTCGAATTAAATTAACATATATATTTTAATGATTGCTGGTTATTAATATTGCCAATTTAAATACGCGATTTATAAACAAAGCACTCACGTGTAAATATTTGTTATACCAATGGCTGTATGCGGTTCGTAAATATTACATGATGAGTTTATATAAATTAAAAAAAGATAAATATTAGCCTGGCAACCTATTAATGAGTATGTACAGTTTGTGAAGTTAATGCAGTTTTGTATTTATTATCTTAGAGTTTTATTAGTCACGTTCTAGAAGGTTTTATAATCGAAACGAGTGTATTATGAACACATTTTGTTTTTGAAGAAGTGACATAAATAAAATGTTATGCAAATGGCAAAAATGATAATTAATACCTTTACGATGTAATCATAATTCTGATCACATGTTTTATAAAAACGGATATATTTTGGTATATCACACATTCGGATATAATTTTCATCAACGTTTGCGAATAAAACAATCAACCGATTAGAATGATTTAATAAGCATTCGATTTGCAGTGATAGTAAATAGAGTTGAAAAACTTTTGGGAAAGGCATGTCCAGCAGTTTCAAAGACACAAATAAAGAAGTGTGCAAAAAACGGTCTTTTGGCAATTAAAAGTTCAATGAATATTAGCAGGTTTTTATGGAGATTTGAATAAAATGTTAGTGAAGTTTTGTGTTGCGTAACAAATATTAATAATTTTCAAAGTTCACCTCTAATACTTCAAAAAAACGATTTTATGTGAAGTCAACCTTTAAATGTTTTGATAAAAGATTTAAAATGCAAACATTTTATCTTGATAAAACCTTGATTAAATAACATTATAACAAAATTTTTCAATATTTTAAATATAAATTTAACAACAAAATAGCAGATGTGCATTTTCAATTCATTCATCATACTAAAATTGTACTAAAACATTTCAATTTCTAAAAAGATAACTTGTGTAGGTTATATTAAGGTGTTAATGCATTACGGTCACTTGAACTCGTTTTATAAATATTTTTGAAGTCAAACTTCTTTAGGCGCGACTGGGGTGTAAATCCGTACAAATGCTTCGGAAGTGCGTTACGGCAGATAAGATAAGATAAGAGCCGAGTGCCAATGATTCGTCATTAGCTCTCGATGATATCATTTCTATACGGGTCGATTGTGATTAGTCGTCGCATATGTGAATAGAGATCTGTCGTTGTATGCGTACCGATATCAACAAGGAATCGGCACAGATAAATAAACATTTTAAAGTTACATCGTAGTACAAATCTTGATTTAATAAAAAATGCCTGAATCAGAAGAATATTTTACGTAAATAATTATAATGAAAATAATAAAACAAATGCGGCATTTGCGCCGTGTATGAAACATAAGTTTATTGAAATAATTTCTATATTATTCGTAGTTTCTATAAATCTTCGAAGTTATTGAAATGAAAAATTTTTTTTAGACAAAACAGATATTACAGCTGTTCAAAGAATGAGATTATATCGACAGCGAAAAGGTAAAAAAAATACCATCAATTATTCAATGTATGTTAATTTTAATTACATAAAGTTCTTCGAACACAATTATTACATGATGAGTGAAGTTGCAAAAACAATATTTGTTTAGGCGTTGTTTAACATAATCTACTATGTGAACGAATATTATAGAAGTTATTAATCAGCAATTACTTTATTTCTCTAATGAAGGTTCATTTGTAAATGCTAATTACAATGGCAAACCGATCATGTCATATTTGAAGCATGACTGTAATTACATTATTGTTTTTAAATAATATACATACTTTTAATGCTATTATAAACATAAAATTTATAATTTATCATTATATAAATGTGTATAATGGCTGACACTAATAAATGTGTGCATCACGAGTGTTACCATATTACTAATAAATATTATTCAAATTCATTATATAATCTATTTATTTTTACATATATGCCATCTTGTACAATAGCAAACAAGTTTTACTTCAATCGCGTGTGAATCTTACGCGCACTCTTTTTTTACTTGCAAGGAGGTAGTTAAAATAGAAGAAATGAATAAAGTGTGAAATGATTTTTAGCATGGAATATAAATATTTCAGTTTGCAAAATAAAAAAAGTACATAAATGATTTTGATTAACGTATCATAGTTTATAACGCCCTACACAAAATTTTATAAATTACAGCCCGCAACGTCCACCATAAATCGCATTCAATGAAAAGATAATTCGTAGAGATTGTTAGAAGTGTTCGAAAAGTGCCTTGAACCGTGTAATTCACATTTAATCTGCTCACCTCCACCTTGGCTGCTTCCGCGTTTACCTTGGCGGCGGCGAGTGGCCCCGCAATTTTCTCCAAATGCGCGAGCGAATGCAATGTCGACTCGGCTAACGCGTCGAGAGTTTCCAATAACTCACCCGGCGTGCTGAAAGGAATCATCGGTTCCGGAGATTTTTCAGTTAAATCCTAAAGAAAAACGAGGAAAATACATAAGTTCGTAGAAAAACAAATACCTAATCATCGAAGTTGATAGCGTTTGTAAAATATTTCTACAAATATTCTTGCATTCTTGCAGGTTTGACAGATGATATTATATTTAACTGATAGATCAATAGGTAGGCATTGGGATTTTGTTAATAAGATTACTTTCAAATATTTTTTGTACTAAATCCTAGAAATTCTAAACTGCCTGACAAATAAATTCTGGAAAGCTTCCGTAACGAATCGTTTGTCTAAAATTATTAAAAATTAATTTTGTTACTAATATCTTGAAAAATATTGATTGCCACGAGACAGGCTTTCAAATTAATTTATTACCTTCCCGAAGGAGAAGTTTATGTTTTCATCAAAAAATTCGATTCGCTAATTTTATGTTTCCTCGACGCTTCAAGCCATTCTGAATCGAATGAGACCAAATTTGGAAAAAGTATGCGTGCGTTTTAATTTGCAATAAAATGGCACAGTATTATACCACAAAAGCTATGCACTTATATTTAATAATAACATCCATACCATTTCATAGCAACATGGAATATTTTTATGAATTAATAAAAATGTGCTGAACCAGCGTTTTAAAGAAAACTCTGTTTTATTATAAAATATATTGTACATAGTTTGTCTTGGGAAAATAAAACTGCAAATGCTAAGATACTAAAAGATAGCACTCATAAAACTACTGAAATTATTATATTTACTCTAATATTTTGGCAACGTTAAAAATAAATGCTGGTAATTTTTCGTTGTAAAAATACTTTCTATACTAATAACTCTGTGAATATTTATAAATAGACTCTTAGACTTAATTGTGTTGTTAGCATAAAATATTAAGATTGTTTGCTTATTATTATTGAGTTGAGTATTATACAACTTCAGAAAAACGTTATGGTAAATAAATTCTAAGAACTGGGCACTAATATTCCAGTTTAAAAAAAATCACGACTGTGGAAAATGTAAAAATACTCTAACCGTAAATATTTAACCTTGGTATAATTGATTGTAAATATTTTGGTATAATGCATTTTTACTTTTATAGATTGAAATACTGGATATTTTAATATTGGGTATAAAGCTAAAAGTTGTAACATAAAATGCAATGTAGTCTGTACTGTATGCTAAATTTTAATTAGTCGATAAAACAAAAATTTAAGTAAAAAATTGTGCAATTTTTTTTTGCTTTGCAAAGAGTAGAGATAAATTAATCAATGTATACCACTGTATACACTGTATATGGTTATAAAATATGTTTCATTAAGAGTTTAATCTCGGGTGTTATTTTTAGTTTATTAATATTTGTTCAATATTTGAACGTAGTTATTCCGAAAATTCATAGATGATTACAGTTACAGTTTGTTTTCATAAATTGATAATTTCGTAAAAAGACATTAAACTATAAATGAATCGACACAAATAAAGCCAAAATAAGATTTAAATATTGATAGTTGAATTAATTTGATGTAATAAATTGGTAAAATGCTAGTATAATATATAATATATAACAATTATAAAACGTATATGACTAATGTACGTGTATACAATGTCAACAAATAAATAATAAAAAACTTTATTAATTAAAAATGTTCATGTTTTAAAAGAATACTTCTAGAAGGTAAAAATATACCCACCTGAAATGCAAAAAGCGATGCAAAAATCCTTTGCACAGGTCTTTTAAGGAGTAAAGTTTTTTCTGTTTTTTGCAGTTATACACCCAATTCAGATTTATTGAATTAGGTTCGTGTTCAGCGTTAAAAATACATTGGAAAAAATAAGTAAACAAACAAAGCACACCCAACACAGATCCTTTTTATATTTTATGGACCTGTGTAATTTTCCAATTTTGGCAGTAAAAAGCATGTTTTTCTTCAGAGATTCGAGATAATGTATATGAATATTAATTTTACTCACGAACCAAAAATTTAACAAGAAGATCATCGAGCGACAAGACCGATTCTTCTTTCTTCATTTTGCTTTCCTGAGTTTGGCCCTCCTGTAGCAGATTATCATGCGAATCTCTGTGGATCCAGTCATGCTCCAATCGCCATGACAGAGGTGCGACCCGATAAAGAAATGACTGGAAAAAGATCAAAACTTAATTTAAAATAAATCTCCTCAGAGAGCGCATAAAAGATATTGTGATACCGAGAGCTGTATAAAAAACATATCGGATATTGGTGAATAAATTACTTGAACAAAAACGTTGACAGATTTTCAAATGAATAAATTTGAATAATTGTTTGATGGCATATTTTCAATGACAGTTTCTATATGAGTAGCATTAAAATGTGCACATGAATTCATCAAGTACAAATGACGTTTTGTTACGTAATGCTGCACTCAATTACGTAATGCTTACACTATATATATATATATATATATATATATATATATAACTTTCAAGGTACAAAAATAAAACATCTTTATCACCTGATACATTTTTAATTCGCGCCAAGTTTCTTCAAGCGTATAAAGTTCGCATCTCAACATTCCAAGTTTAACACTCAATTCTTTTTTTTCGACAGTTAAGTTCATGGTTTTGGCAGACATCAAGTCAGCTTCTTCCAAAAATTTTCGAGCATTTCTGTGATCCTCTGCTAAGAATTCGTCAAAACTATCTGCATATCTCTAAAATTGTAAAAAAATAATATTAATTTAATAATGATAATAAATACTAAAGCTTTATAAAACACATAGTCTACAAATATGTAATTTATAATATTTTCAATCACTGTAGCTGATACTAAATAAATCGTGAACATAGATATAGTTAGAGAAGGGCGGGGCACAAAGGTCCATTATGACTTTGACCAATTATACCCAACTTATTATATCTCAACGAATAACACATATAAAACAAACAACTATCTGACTATGATGAATAAATCCCAGTCCTAGCTAATTCATCTAGGTAAAAATGTGTTTTAGCTGTTTTTCAAAAACTTGTCATCTGGTACTTTTCACCGCTTTTTTTTAGGTGAAGTAAAATAGGACCGCCATGGGCCTAACCGGTCCAATATCTTATTAAATTTTAAAATAATTTTTGCAAAATATAAGCTACATTATTCAACCAATTCAAAATATGAATTTTCTGGGTACATTTTTTATCAAAATGAAATTGTATATAACCTTGACCTGGTACATTGTCAGATTTATCTCCCGATAGCTATGTCGTAAGCATCAAGTTGATGGCTGATTATACATCTTTTGCCATCTACTTTTAAATATTGTTGTTAAAAAGTTCTTAACGTTACTTGTTTTTGAGATATTGGTGGTCTAACACGTGGAGCTTTAAGCCACGCTCACCCTTGTATGTATATGATTGTAATAAATATAAATGAAATTTATGATCATATCTGTCCAAATATATATAATAAAGTTTTATTTAAATTCATTGATTGATTGATGTCCTATATATATTAGGTGACCATTCGTCCCGGATTTTTATAAATGTTTTGATTGCCAATATATTTATAAATATATTTCAACTAGAAAATTTGAACCGAAAAAATGTGCATATATAGTTTTTAGCTCACTAACTTACCCCCCCCCCCCCCGCTCAAATATGGTCACCATATGGGCATTTATGAAAACATTTTCTAAATATCTATCTATCATACAACTCTTATATTAGAAATTTTGAAACATGAATATTATAATAATATTAATACTAATAATTTCTAATAATATTAGTTTACGTGAAGTGTATAAAGTAAACAAAATTGAGAACAATTTTAATCCAATATCAAAATCCATACTTCATTAGAAAAATATTCTTATGGCACACGTTAGTGCTTGCCTACATGTTCTTAATTAACTACATGTCGATAACGGATAATAATCTCAAAGCAACTGTGAAATCCTTCAAATACCTTATGTTTTTCTTTTATTTCATTGATCTGCGTCAATTCCATGTAGCAATTTTCTTGAATTAGCAAAGCTTCGTCTTGTAGCATGCCGCATTGAATACGATTTCTCAGACATTCTCGCACATCATTCACGTACCTATTGCACATTTTAATAATAAAGTAATTACGATCGTGTGCTTAACGAGAAATCCTCAAACATTCGATTTATAATACAGCATTCCATTGAAGTTTTCAATACAGAAAAGAAAAGGAGAAGCAAAATTTATATGGAATAAAAATGTACGTGACAAAATCCAAGTACAATTGTATTATGATAAAGAATATAAAAGCAAAAAATGTCTTAACGGTGCTTGCATCAGTATTTGAAAAAACATGGTGAAGTATAAGAATTTTTAATATTGTATATCCGAATCGATCAGAATACTATTCAGTTTTTTCAAAACAGTAAGATACTTAAAATCGACATTTACAACAGGTGCTGATTATAAACAAAAAGTGATATAATCAAATATAAAAGTAAACTCAACAATTAAATATTTTCTGAATCTCGTTTAACACTAGATTTACAAACTCGAGCCAATTTCAATAAAAATTTGATGACTATATACATATAAAACTATATACATTGATACGTACAAGTATAACGAGTTGAATTTTTTGATAATAAACATTTTATTTAAATTGCCTTGGACCGATTTTTTTCCAAAATATTTCCATTTTTTGTATAAGCCAAATTGGCTCACTTTATTGAAAATAGGTATATAATCAAAATCCGTAAATCTAGTGTTAAATAAACATTTGATAAATATTTAGAGATATAATACACGAATTGATACATACATTTTTCTGACAGAAATATTATATCTAAATACAAGATTTTTTTATCTCATCTGCAAAGAACTACATAAATGTTAAATACTTACTTATTTATATTGAGTCTATCCTTTATCGGTCTATTTTGCACCAATTTATAAAAATCAGGATCGACATCTAAAATAGCTTTAACAGCTGGTCCACCAACAGTTGCATTTGGTGTATGCACCCTTGCTCGCAAATCTGCATTCTTTCAAGAGTTAAAAAAAACTATAGATTTCATGTACTAGCATAAATCCATATAAAACTTACAAATAAAAATACTATAAATCATTTAGTATTATACACTTAATGCTATAATTAAGAATTCACTCTTTTCGTAAAATTTTCAGTGAGAATTCGAATAAAATTTGGCAAAATAATTCATTAAAACCTATCAAAATCAAAACCAGATAAAAAAGAATTTTTTGGAACTTTGAGAGTACTAGAACAAAACTTAAAACTTAAAACCTTTTTCAGAAAGAGCTTAAATATTCCTGAGAATATATATTCTCACTTAATGCATAGAAACTTAAGACCTTTTTAGAACTTTTAGGGTCTGCTGAGAGCAGAATGTGCCTAATAAGGTTGATGTGTCTCTAGTTTTAGAGTTTACCTATTAGAGTGAGGTTAGTATCACAGTTCCCAGTATATTTTAGATCCAAATTTTAAATTTTTCTCTCAAATTTAAAAAACTGCTAAGTCAGTATGGTTGCTATAAATATTGCAGAAAATGTACCTATGTAATAGTTAGATATTTACTTAAAAATTACCTAAAAAATTGAACTTGAACTGAACTTAAAACTTTTCTTTATCTTAAATACTAAATCTTTTGTTATATTTTATTTTTGAACATAGTATTATATTATAAATTGGCATGCATAATTTCTTTTCACAGCCAACCTATTCTAGGTTTGAATTCAAATCTTCAAAAGATACTGTAATTTTCACCCATGTAAATTGTCGAAAAAAATAAAACACTATCACATAAGCTTGTAATGAATACAAACTCTACATAAGAAATGTAGATAATATAGACAGTGCAAAATGAAGATACCTTCTGATATGATAGAGTACACGATATGGAAAGTTCATAATTAATCTTACATAATTACTCAAGTAATTGAATTAAGTGAAATCGCAGTTCTTTCTCTATCTTCATATATCAAAATGCGGCAATCATGTGTATTATTCGTTTCATTTAAACGCGTTTGCGTGCTTCGCACCTGTCTAGTCCTATAATTAGAACCGTCCGCTTGGTTTTTCTTCTTCTGCTCAGCTTCCCAAGTTCCTTGGAGCATTCTATAAGCTTGAAGTTCGACATCGCGCGGGTACAAAAACGGACTTCGTTCTTTCGTAACATCGCGTGGCGGTTTCTTATTCGTGCCGCCGGAGGTTAGATAATACCTGTTAACGACAGTAATTATAGAATTAGAAAAGAAAGGGTGCAAGTTGGAGATGGATTTACTTTTCCACTTGGAAAAGTACATGGAAAACAAAACGCAAGCTACAGAAACAATACAAAATTGGATCGATAGATCAAGGATACGTTGAAATTACAATAGAATCCGCTTAGTATGACAACGAAGGGACGCCGAAATCTCGTCATACTAACCGGTCGTCATTATAAGCATACTGAAGAAAAACTTTTTAATATGCAAATATGTTACATGTTTCAGTAATTTAAAAGAAAAGCCTATACAAACGTTTTAATTAAAAATAAAAATGACACATTAAAATTTATTAATAAAATAAAATTGACATAGGGTAGGGCGGGGCACAACGGTCGAATTTGACTTACGGTAATTGTATTGTCTAAACCCAATGAACAACACATAACATACATCAAAGAAGCATCTATCGAACTATGTTCAGAAAAACTTACATACATACGTACATAATTCCTAATTATATAAATATTATATTTTTTACTATTTTTTAAACATTTGGTATCTGACCCATTTTACCTCACATACGGGGTAAAGTGGAACAACTAGGGGGCGAACAGGTGCAATTTCTTCTATTAAATTTTAAAGGCATTTTACGCTACATTATTGAACCAACGTATTTGTGAAATTAAAATAGACAAAATTGTCAGTATATTGTCAGTCGTAGTTTCAATCAAATTTTACACTGACCACAAAACAGTATTACCAATTTACAAGCTAAGTTTAAATCTAAGCAATAGACTTCTCTCCTGATAGTACTAGATTTTTCGCCCATTAATATTTCTATTCCAACAATTAAAATTTGTATCTATTATTTTGTAAATGCATAAAATTGCTATAAATATATTTTTTTTATTTTATTATTCTTTTTTATTCTTTATTTTATTCACAACTGTCCAATTAAAAACATTTAATAAATTTGGAGAAGTTACAATTGTCAGCCGTAAAAAAACATTGTATATTAAATGGGCATGTTGGAAATACAACTCAATAGTTGTTTTTCCATTCGTTATAATATGAACAATATTTTATTGATAATGATATAATCTTAACTATTTACTTATAAATAAATTATGACAAAGTCATTTCAATCTTTATCGGGAAAATTGATGACTTAATTCCAGTGGCGCTTTTCTTTTCAACCTACGTCGATAGTTTTCTGTTATGAAGGAGTTTGCTAGTGATTTTTGGTGACTGCTGAGCTTGTTAACTTCCCGTAGGGTAAGTTATTGTAATAGGCCGAAAATCGAAATTCAAAATTTTTACATTTCTCGACGTTTTGAAGGTTTCTGAACGTTTTGGCATACCTCAGAAAAAATGGATGTGTGTGTGTGTGCATGTATGTATGTATGGATACAAATTTCCAGTCACGTTTTCGGGCGCATGGATCAACCGATTTGAATGGTTCAAAAAACATTCGTTTCCTATTGATAGGGAAAAGAGCTGATTAATTTTTGGCGAAGGCAGGTCCAGCCGTTTCGGCGATACGGAGCAAAGAGTGCAGAAAATAGAAATCGACTTTTTGAGAGAACGGAGTATCCGATTTGAATGATCTAAAACACATTCAATTAGTAATGATTGGGAGAAGTGTTTATTAGTTTTTGGCAAAGGCAGGCCCAGCCATTTCGAAGATACGGAACTAAATATGTAAAAAATGGCAGTTTTTGAGAGAACTAAGCGTCCGATTTAAATGATTCAAAGAACTTTCTGCTTGCCTTAACAAAATAATTGATTTTGGAAAAAAAAAATGTATTTTTTTTTAGTTTTTTAGTTTTTCAGCGAAAATAATTTAGATATTATTTTTATTCTGACTAAAGTTCTAATATAACTTAAACAAATAGTTTTAAATTTGCAATTCAGTTTATATAATTTTTATAAATATTAGCCAATGTTACAATATTTATAATAATCTATTTGAAAACATTCAGTATTCCTCGAACATTTCCAGCAACGGGAAGTTCCAGCAATTTGCCTTAAGGCACGCTGCCATACACCCCACTAGTTTCTATATTTATGTGCTATTTCTGTTATTACATCTTTTATGGTAGGTGTGTTCGTGTCGAGATGAATTAGCCAGTTCTGGTTATATTTTGGTGCTCCTAAGGAAATTTTCAAAAAATTGTTCTGAAACTTCTGTATTATTTCTATATTAGTCTTATGAGCACTGTCCCACAATTGTATTCCATAGCACCAGATAGGTTTGAATTAAGTTTTATATGAAAGTAAATATATTCTTGCATGCAATAAATGAATAGCTGTTAAAGTACTGATCTGAAGATTCCTGAAGTCCACATCACGCAAACACAAGTACTTCAATAATATCGCGTGGCGATTTCTTGTCGTTATTTCTGAACTGACGTGATGTAATGTGTGCTGACAGAGGACATTGTAGATAAAAGGGTGGAAATGATTGATGTTTAATTGAATAGAGTTAATAAAGTGACACTTGTTATAAAGATAAATATCTTGGCTATTCAATCAGAAGTAACTCAAATTGAAATCTGCACAAGCTTTTGAACGAGCATTAATAGTTCAGTCATTTAGTAGTTTTACCTTAACAGTTTTCCGAGAGTTTTGAAAATTGGTGATTTTATAGATTTTGATGTGATCTTTACGAATTTCAACTTTGCCACCTCGAATTTTTGCCGCTGCCGCCGCTATATTGGAAAAATTGCGTCAAAAATCAGTTTTTCAACGATATCTCCTTTCTGACTCATGTTACATTAAAATATCTATATACAAAATTAAACTAGACAAAATTTTCTATAATTTATTCAATAACGTTTTTTTCTGTACCGTCAATAGTTTTAGCGTACGTGCGCCGCAAAGTTTCTGCTGCTCGCGCCACCATCGGATATTTAGCCGCTCTTTGCGCTTGAACGCATTCTCTCTAATAAATATATAATTTCAATAATGAATTAAGCTTTTCTGCTCAGGTCTGGCCTAGAAATAACATAAATTAATCATTTTTGTTTTTCATTTTTATTTTTGCTGATGATTGAACATTTTAAATCATACAATTTAATGCATTTTTTTCTTTTTTTTTTGGCAATATTTATATAAATTTGGGATTATTAAACTATGAAAATATTGAATGAACTCAAATTGGAACTGTATATAGGAATAATCTTTGGCGATAATCGTTCTAATAACTCGATTGCAACGGATAGATTACTGCGTATTGTATATAAGATTATATTATCTTCTAATAACAACACACAACGCCAATTATCTGTATTTCTACATCTAAATATGTATAATATGTTTAGAATAGGGTTTATACAAAAACCGACATTTCAGAAAACTGGTTTTCGAATTTTAATTTTACTAAAAAAAACGTTTTTAACCGGTTTTCGAATTTTATATAGAAAATAAATTTTTGCTCGAACATTCTGTAATTTATCCACAAATTTAATGTAATTTAGAGCAGTATTTGACTGAATTTATTTATTGTTCAATTTTATAGATAGTAAACAAATTCATTTTAATTTTAATTAGTAGAACTAAAAGATTATAGTTTATCTTGATTAAATAAATTTGAAAATAATTATTCGTATTTATCATTTTCACATATAAGAATGAAATTATTTTTATGGTAGTGAAAAGAAAGTTTTCAAATAAATAAAAATAATACATTTCTAAATAAAAAAAATCATTAAATTAAAAAAAATATATATATATATAGTAGATACATTTTGATACATACTTTTTAATATCAATTTTAGTTTTAAAAATGATTAAGCTAAACTCGGATATTGTCTGTTCCGAGTAATTTTAATTAACTAATTTTAAACATTCTAATTGTTTTTTTGTTTAATAAAATACGATTCCAAAAAACTGAGAACATTTATCGAATTTCTACATAGACGTGTCCTTTGTTTACGAATCAAAATTTCCTGGAATAGAAAATACTCTCATACTTGCGACCAAATTAATTGTTTTTAATGTCTGATATGATAATTCCAAATTTTTTGTTCTTTAATTTGTAGCTTCTAAGGTTTAAAACTCTTATTTTTAAGTTTGAGTAGAGGAAGTTACTTCTTCAAGAAGAAGTCACACTGATTTAAATTAATATATACACTGGTATAAAAATCTAAATTAATATATACTATTTCTGGGAATCATTGCAGACTGATAAGATATCAAATGCTATAGAAATGATATGATTTCAAGAATCAAAATGCTTTTATCTATCTTTTATATTTGGCTATATTTGTCATTTCCATTTATACAGTGAAAACCGACTTTTTTCACTAAAAAACCGATTTTGAAAACCGACAAACCGTAGTTCAGAATCAATAGAAGTATTTTTTTCTAGACGTCAGTATATTTTTATCGTTCCGTATGCTAGTTTACTTGCATTTTTTGTAAATCAAGTGCTCAAAGAAAGAACAATAAAGGTAAACTTTTAGAAGGACTGAGGTCAATAGTCAAATCAATCAATCAAATCAATAGTCAAAACTATTCTTACAAACAATTTCATATTTGCATTAAATTACACATTTAATGGTTTAAAATGTTCAATCATCAGCAAAAATAAAAATGAAAAACAAAAATGATTAATTTATGTTATTTCTAGGCCAGACCTGAGCAGAAAAGCTTAATTCATTATTGAAATTATATATTTATTAGAGAGAATGCGTTCAAGCGCAAAGAGCGGCTAAATATCCGATGGTGGCGCGAGCAGCAGAAACTTTGCGGCGCACGTACGCTAAAACTATTGACGGTACAGAAAAAAACGTTATTGAATAAATTATAGAAAATTTTGTCTAGTTTAATTTTGTATATAGATATTTTAATGTAACATGAGTCAGAAAGGAGATATCGTTGAAAAACTGATTTTTGACGCAATTTTTCCAATATAGCGGCGGCAGCGGCAAAAATTCGAGGTGGCAAAGTTGAAATTCGTAAAGATCACATCAAAATCTATAAAATCACCAATTTTCAAAACTCTCGGAAAACTTTCTAGGCAACAGCATTTTTTTGTACCAAATGACTGGGCTATAATACCATTTGAAATTTGCGTAATATATGATTGCATGTTAACACTTCTTCACTTAAACTTGGTACGAGAGATATTTTTGAAATGAGAGTGCTTTTCGCAGGAGTGACTCTGCTGTACGGAACAGCCAGCTGCTCTACTGAACAATAAATTATCATTATCAATATCAATAGGCATTGGAAATTGCATTATCGATAAAAAAAAGTATTTTAAAATTGAAAATTGCACTTCTAAAAACTTGAAATTATAATAAACAAGTGGTGCACGGCATTGTCTTAAGACAAATTGCTGAAACTTCTTCAACCATAGTTTATAGTGTTTAAAAATTTAGAACAGAAAATATGTATTTTTTTTTTGAGAATTTTAATTTTTTTGAACATTTTGTAAAAATTATGAAAATAACTGAAAAAAATTACTTTTACAAAATGAAATTTTTGAAATTGATAAATATCTGATTTTCGACCACCAAATAGCCAAATATTATTTCAAACTTTTGTTCTGGTTTTCTGAAACCGCTGGACGTGCCTTTCCAGAATTCCATTCAATTTTACACTTTGTCATTACAAGTGAAATGTTTTTTGAATCATTCAATGCGGATGCTCCGTTCTCTCAAAAACTTAATTGCCATTGTCTGCACCAACTTTTGTCAAAAACTACTCAGCACATCTCCCTATCGATAGGAACCGAATGCTTTCAGAATAATTCAAATCGGTTAATCCGAGTTCTCGAAAACGTGAACAAAAAATTGTGCCCATACACACACATACATACATCTTTTTCTAAGAGAAGCCAAAATGCATAGAAACCTTTGAAACGTAAACATATGCATAAAATTTCATTTTCAATTTTTAGACGATTATTATAACTTACCCTAGAGAGTGTTTGAAATATAAATTCTCAATAAAACAAATATTAAAGCTTGAAGCAAAAGTTGACAAAATGCATGCCATCCAAAGACGACACCAGTATATAAGTCGTCTATAGACGACTCTCATAGTGAAAGTTTTAATATTATTTATTCTGGTGTTCATTTTCAATTTTTTATTACAAAAATCAATATAATTTTATAAAATTCAATAATTGGAAATATATTATGTTCACATTATATTTATAAGAACGTTATGATATCACCCTTAAATCGTCACGTGACTTGGCACGTGCATGTTTCATATTAAAAGTATTTTGCAAGCTTTTTAAAAAATTAAAAAAATAGATTCGCACACCGTAAATGTATCTTTTTTTTTCTGTTTGATTGTACATAGCAAACTATACACACAGTACATTCAGCTACTGCGATAGCACCTTCTCAGATATTATGTGTTTTGATGTATTTTAATAAAATGAGACAGATTTTGTATCAAGTTATAAGATCTAATTATCGAAATAAGTCGCCATCCATTACCAAATATATGGCTCGTTAGTACACATAAAATCAATAAATCTTCTTATTACTCACGTAGAATTAGCGACATATTTCTTGTGTTGTAAAGCCTGAAGCATGGTAGGTCGGCGCACCATCTCTTTGGGTTTGCCCTTCCTCGGAGTTGGCACTTTGACGGATGGTGCATGAGCCGTGTCACTCAGTTTCATTGACACTTTCGTGGAAGATTTATCCTTGCTAGCCGCAGAGTCATTTTCGTCTTCTGACAGCGGCATTCTTCGAATCTATTGGCACGGGATGTAAATTTAGAAGCTGAAATTGTATTGAACAATATTTTTAATGAAAAATAGTACAAAAATATTATTTTATAAAAGTAGTTAAAATATTTAAATATATAAAATGTCAAAATAAATTTATAAACCGAAACCACGCCTGCTCGAATTAAGCAAATTATTAAAAGTATATATATTGTTTATAGTTTAGCTTATTCATCTCTGCAAAGTTATGATCAAATCATAGTTTTCTAAACACTTAACATTCTTTTGAACACTTTAACAAGTTAAAATTAACTACAACTACCAAAGGCAGAAGAAATAGTAAAACCAAAAACCTTCTTTCTTCTGAACATTTTGGCATACCTTAGAAAAAATTGATGTGTGTGTGTATGTATGTATGGATACAATTTTTCGTCCACGTTTTCGGGCGCATGGATCAAGCGATTTGAATGGTTCAAAAAACATTCGATTCCTATTGATAGGGAGATGTGCTGATTAGTTTTTGGCATAAGTCGTCGAGCTGTTTTTGGAGTTACAGAGCAAAGAGTGCAGAAAATAAAAATCCAGTTTTTGAGAGAAAAGAACATCCGATTCGAATGATTCAAAGAACATTCAATTCGTGATGATGGGGAGAAGTGGTTTTTGTCAAAGCCAGCTCCAGCGGTTTTGGAGCACATGGATCAACCGAGCAAAATGTGCAAAAATTGCAGTTTTTGAGAGAAATAAACATCCGATCTGAATTTCGATGTCATTCTGCTTGTGTCGACGAAACGGTTGTTTTTGGGAAAAGAAAAAAAAATTTAATTATTTTCATAATTTCCACAATTTTTTTTCTTTTAAATATCAAAAAAATCAGATTTTCAAATATTTATTTCGGTACGGAAAGTTTCTGCAATTTTCCTCAAAGCACGATGTCATACATCACTAGTTTATATTGGTATTCAAAAATCTTTGGATGATAATATCGTGACAAATTCTAATATAATTCATGAATATTATCAAGCATTAGACAATGCGATTAGAAACTACTAAAATTTATTCAACCATATATTCAATTCTTCCAACTGTCGATAATTATGTTATACAATTGATTGTCGTTTCAATCAAGTGTTCATTTTTCTATATTTTGGGGATAGCGTTTTACAAACTTGTAATAACTAAACGAATAAATCATTGAACAAGACCATAAATTTTATTCCTAATAAAATGCATTCTAGTACCTTTACTATAGCTGCAGGATCGCTTCGAACTATAAATCAAAGCAGTCAGCCAAACGTAAACAAAAGTTTCATTAAAGAACTTTAAACAAAAATGTGAACAAGAAATTTTTGTATAGAGAATGCAGCCACTGAAAAAGCTATATAAGCTATATAGAGAATGATGAACGGTTTTGTGTTGTGTTTCTTGCAAAGAAAGCCATCATTCTATTTTTAACGGACAATAAAATATATTTTGAAACGGTATTTGATCAACAGTTGCATACAGATTTATTTGCAATAAAGGAAATTAAAAAATACATTTTTTTAAAATATTGTTAATAAAAATCATAATGGGTGTATAACTGTAATAATGAAATTCATTCATCAGTCTTATGCAAAAATGTTTTCGATGTCATTCCCGTAGACTTTGTAAGATTTTTTTAAGATAACTTATGACAAAAATTTGCGGTTTTCAGAAATATGATTATTATTTTAAACAAAAACTAGTAGTGTTTGGCATCGTACCTTAAGGCAAAACCGAAGCAAAAACTAAATTATTAAAAAAAATTTGCAAAACTTTTACAACTTTACAAATTTTAAACTTTTGAAAGAATTTGTTTTTTTTTATTTTTTTCATATTTTTATTTTTTTGTATTTTGATTATTTTTAAAACTTTTGAACATTTTTTTAAGCAATCGCGCTGCATAGCTGATTTGGAAATACCGTGTAAACATTGGTAGGGAACCCATATGAATGTACACAAAATTTGTACTTATTATTATAATCTTTATAAAATATCTGATAATACGATGTACATATGACTAATGCTCATTTTTGACCGTCAAATGGCATTATTTTTTACTTCTTTATTGAATCTCCGGAGACGTTGAACCTGCCTTTACAAAAATTTGACCAATTGTTCATTTCGTTAATAGAAGTAATATGTTTTCTTAAATTATTCAAATCGGACGCTCTGTTATCTCAAAAACTGAAATACCATTTTCGACACTTTTTGTCCCGTAAAAATGCTAGACATAAACTAGACTTTGCCAAAAACTAATACGTCTCCTTACCAGTGGGAATCGATTGTTTTTTTAATTTTTCAAATCAGTTGATTTGTGTTCGCAAAATCGTCGACAAAAATTTGTATCCGCACACACATACACACCTGCACACACACACATACATCCATCTATTTTTTCTAAGGGATGCCAATGTTCAGACATCTTTAAAACGTAAAGATAAATAAAAATTTTCAATTTCGATTTTTTTTGCGATTACTATAACTTACCCTACGGGAAGTTAATTAATTTTTGAAAAACTTATAAAAATTCAAGATCTAGGTTTCAAAATATAAAGCAGAACTTTAAAACTTCATTTTAATCTAGTTATTTAAAATAAAGCTTATTTCAATGATACAAACAAGAGCTTTGCGGTAAAGATAAATAATCTGAAAAGATCCCAAACCTGCAATTATTGTCAATAAAACAAATCATTAAGCAAACGATGCACGATTCAGGAATCGATGGATCGAAACAAATATCCGGAAGCGTCATGGCGATTAATCTCTGCCCTTTGGACATAATTTCGCATCACGGAAGGTAAATCGACTTAATGACGGTGTTGAAATATAGCTCGATGCTTATCACTGAGGTAACAGAATGCAAGTTGCTATCATGTGCACGCAAATGCTAAAAGACAGAAATACAACACCGATTAACTCCAACTATCTAAATTGTCCAGGAGGAAAAATATTTTTGCACAAAGCATATATATGCACTATATCAGACATATATGAATCTGAATATGTTGCAGATATAAGTTACCTGACTTAACAATAAACATGTTTAAGAAATTCAATTCATGAACAATAAAAAGCGTGATAAATGCATAATGGGAGCATAAAGATAATTTCTTTCAATTCGGCCAAGTAAAATCAATTCCTAGTTTTTTAATTTCAAAAATTTTACTGTGTTTTCTCAAAACATATAAATGTACCCTCAAAATTTCAAATAGATGGATTCACTAGTTTTTTTCTATTTTAATTCCCAAAAATAGCCTTTTTTAGGTTGTCACACTAGGTGTGCCACTTAAATACTAACCGATATTTTTAATTTATATACGTAATTTACAATAATATTTACAATATACGTAATAAACTTATACTTTTAATATATTTGCATTCTTTATATATGCTTATTTTGACCACATAAATTCAACGCTACAATAGATACAAATGAAAAACATACAAAATCAAGGTTTTAAATTATAAAATATTGAACAATATTCAATGTGAGCCTTATATTAAACAATAAAACTTCATTCCTCATTTGCAAATGTGTGAATAAATTCATGATTATAATTAACTTCCCGTAGGGCAAGTTATAGTAATCGCAAAAAAATCGAAAATGAAAATTTTTATATATCTTTACGTTTCAGAGGTTTCTGAACATTTTGGCATACCTTAGAAAAAATGGATGTATGTGTGTGTGTGTGTGTGTGTGTGTGTGTGTGTGTGTATGTGTGTGTGTATGTGTGTGTGTATGTATGTATGTGTGTGTATGTATGTGCGGATACAAATTTTCGTCGACGATTTCGGGAACACGGATCAACCGATTTGAATAATTCAAAAAACATTCGATCCGTATTGATAAGGAGACGTGCTGATTAGTTTTTGGCAAAGGCAGGTCAAGCCGTTCCGAAGATACGGGGTAAAAAGTTCCGAAAACGGTAACTCAGTTTTTAAGAGAACGGAGCGTCCGATTTTAATAATTCAAAAAACATTTTATTTGTATTGACAAGATAAAGAATCGATACAACTTTCATGAAGGTAGGTCCAGCGGTTTCGGAGATATAGAGGAAAAAGTAAAAAAATGAGCCATTTGGCGGTCAAAAATGATCATTAGACATATGCACATCAAATTATCAGACATTTTATAGAGATTTTAACAATAAGTATACATTTTGTTAACATTCCTATCGGTTCCGTACCAATGCTTATGCGTTAGACAGCGACGCGGCGCTTACGCGCTTTATATTTTGTTCCTAGGTAGTTAAAGCAGTACGATTGCTTTGAAAAAAAAGTTCAGATCTTCCACAATATGTCAAAATAAAGAAAAAAAAAATTTTTTCAAAAAAAAAAAAAAAAATTAAAAAAAAAATTTTTTAAAAATATTTTTTTTTTCAAAAAAAACTAATTTTTTGTCCAATTTATAGTTTCTCAAAAATCTTATTTTTTAAAACTAATTTTTTTTCAAAAATGTTAATCGTTTTAAAAAATAATAATAATTTTTGGTACGGGAAGTTCCAGCAATTTGCCTTAAGGCACGATGCCCTAATTGCCTTAAGACAGAATTCCACTTACAGCTAGTTTCTTCGCATTTTATATATGAGCTTTGTGTGTATCCTATGGCATAATAAACAGCATAATACCTACATTTTTAATGTATACATAATATATCATTCATCTTAGGTATATATGGGGTAATTTACTATTGAATCACAACCAAGAGAAATTATTAGCACAAATTTTTAAAAGATAAAATGTATGTAACACTAAAGAAATTAGCTAATTTTCTCTCAGGGTACAATTATTTAATTGGAAAGAAGGATAGAAATGTCAGTATTGTAGAATCAAATAAGTAAAAAATTAGTTTAATTATATTGATTTAATTATTCACTATGTTACTAGCATTTAATTAATTTTTATGCTATTAATGCATGAAAATATATATTTAAATCAGCGTTAGAATTCATAAAGTGAGACTTTCTTATTTTTTTCATAGTGTAAAGAAAATATGA